CAAGGACTTTCAAGGACAACTGACAAAATTCAAGGACTTTCAAGGACTGTTGGGGACCCTGTAAAGGTGTACATGTGAAATGGCAAACGAGAATCTTTGTCCCACCCATGCAGCGTTTCGTTTCGCAACAAGTTAAACTCTTGCTAGGTACTCAGTACATGATTCCCACAAGTGTCAATTATTTTTTCAAAGACTTTTCAAGGACTTGGACCTATTTCCAAGGCCTATACAATGACAAAAGGAAAAATTTATATAGACAGTACCGATTCACTTATACATCTCAACGATATAGCATCTCCCCCCCCCCCTCTTCGCTTGTTCGGTCAAGTCTGATAACGGAATACACGAAGTAGTATATACGATTTATAAAAAATACTTAGTGCATATTGTTCTCAGAGTTAGGTTAGACCCGTTTAAGCGTCTTTTCCGCACCTACATGCAAAATTGTCACTTTACGCCATTTCGCTACAGAAGTTAAAAACACTGCTATCGCAATGCTGTTTATGAAAGGCGTGCGTGCGTGCGTGCGTGCGTGCGTGCGTGCGTGAAGAGAAATATTGCGAGAGAGAGCGTGTCATTGGAAAAATAATTCACTTTTGTGGGAACCATATGCTTTAGTAAATCATTACCTGTGTCTGTGGAAATGAGTACTTTTCAAATAACTGTAGGCTAAGTGTGTACACGTGGGTCAGGTACGCATGATGTAATAAAATGTCGAAGAAATATTCATTTAGAGTCGATTTAACGTGCACCCCTTTGCGTCATTCGAATACACGCAAAACACAAAAATGAAAATACAATCACGAGCACTTCTGATTTCACAATCGGGATGAGCTTTATTCGTGCGGAATAATCGCGAAAATCATCATAGCATGAATGTCATCGACGAAGGTCGTTGAAGGTCATTCGGGCGTCTGCCACGGCTGAGCGCGTCTGCTCTGTCCGTGCATCTGATCTTCGCAGCCTATCTCGACTGGTAGAATCGTTCTAGGTTCTCTCCTCTTCTCACACCGTCGGCTTCCTCTCTCGATCCCTACGAGGTCACGACCTTTGTTGCTCGGCAACGAAACAACAATTTTTTCCCGATTTTACAGTTTTCGCGAAACATCTCGCGCTTCTGCGCTTGCTCCTCGTAAGGTGCTGTGCCGCGTAACAGATCAATCAAATATTTTTCAAGGTTCTATATTCGTGCCACATATTCCATCCTCCATAGTGAGTGTAGGAAACGTGACACTGCCACATACAATCATAAGGTCGTCCATCATCACCTATCGCTCTCGCAAGCAAGCCCAACTAACGCCACTCCCAAATGCTTTCTCATTTGCAATAACGATCACCTGCTAAAATGTCATATATTCAACCAAAGTAAAACTTTACCGATGTAAAATAAGGTCGTACTAGCTCCTGAGTACATAGATATGTTATCGCTAAGCATGCCACGAATAGATGGAAAAGATTTTTCTGCTTATTTACTGAGAAACGCTATCCTAGTGCAAACGAGAGATTCATATTTTCCCCCCAGGACAACGCTTGCCTGTGCAAACACTCGATGTTGAGACGACCCCTAGCACAAACCTTCAATGTTGACGTAACGTGATAAAATATGTACACAACAGCAACGGTAAAATAGTTAATTAAATAATTTAAGTAGATTTTAAACACAACGACTTGGTAATCACCTCACTACAATGAACGAATGGACCATTTCATGCATGATTAGGGTGCCGGATATATATATATATATATCTTTAGTTTTATATATATATTTATTTATTTATATACCGTATTATTTATATATGGCTATCCTCGCTATTCGGATTTGCCGATAAACGTTGCTACCGTGAACCCATAACCCGACAATTGTTGGTTTTAAAAAACTTTTAAAGTAAATTTGGGCCACAGCAATTCGCTTCCCCCGTGTGCTATTCACTCCAGCATTCATTTGTCTGGGACAACTGAACTTGACCACTATACCAAGCACACACGCCCTCTAATTACATGATAAAATGGTCCAGTCAACATTTTTTCGTACAACAATATGATGGATTTCAAATGTGTTATGTAAACGTACCGTGTCGAAATGATTGCAACCTACCGGCGAATATCACAAGGTACAAACAACAAGCTTTTAATGCCGACGAGGTGATGGAGGTGTGATTGCCCACCGTCATCAACTCTAACAAACATACACATCTTCAAGTTATCGGACCTCCACACCGCTGCCACCTGGTGTGAATTTCCCTTACCCCTCCCCCTCCTCCTCCCCTCACACTGGTGGGCACTCTATTGTAAGACGAGTCATAACCATGGAATGTCAATGGTATATCTTAAACATCACGCAATGCTACAAATTAAGTATCATAATCACGCGCTTGTAAGTAAAAGCTGCTGCTGACATGGCCGCATTCATACAATGTTTAATTAATTGACTAGAATAGTGCAGTGGAACTGAATTCATGCAACATTTGCTTCTTATTCTGTGTGCAATGCAATACTGGTACAATGTAAGAACGTAAAATTACACGGAGGATCTTTCTTGTGCTTGGTGCTCGTGATTATAATAAGACAACATGGATAACTTAAAGCCAGCGTGTCAGGGACGTGGCTGGCCCTTGTGCATTACAGCTGTGAGAATCTGCCTTTCCATCTTTTGATCCCGTTTTATGTCCTGGCACGTGAAAACGCATCCAGCCTATCGATCTTATTCCCATCAGAGTATGTGATGTCAAACACATATACGAATTTATGTACTCCTGATTATATCTACATCTTATTCCACTTAACATCTCCCACTCTTGCCAGCAACGAGAAAATTTACTCTTCTCTTAATTTTTTTTAATACCGCCAATCGTATGTCAGCATATTTAGACATGTGCGCACAATGACGTACAACTTGCTTGTTACCCGAGAACACAGAACGAGGCCAGTGAATAACTACACATATATTACAGTTCGACCTCGTTTATCCGGCCACGTTGGGACCGGCACCCATCCGGATATGCGATTTGGCTGGATATGCGATTTATGCTCAAACACAGCATTTCTATGCAGTTCAGTAAGGTTTATGCATGTGATAATGTATTACTATTTACTCATTGCTATGATTATTTGTAACAAACTGTCGTGTTTTATGGTTTATATAAAATGGAAATAAAATGAAATAAAACTAAAATTTTACCACTTCGGTTTAAGTTTGCGCCGAGATCGTTTGTCAGAAAGATCGCTAGACGCCTATTCACTGGCACTGGTACTGGTACTACTAGTACTAGTGGTGTATGGTATATACCCTGCGAGATCGCGGCCGGTTAATAGAGGTTTCCGGATAACTGGTGGCCGGATAAACGAGGTCGAACTGTACTACGATTTCAGGTCGTCCGACATGATAGCAACTGACCGCTGAGAAAACGCCGCAGACTAGCAGTCTTAGATTTGGTTTTCCTAGCTGTGAGACTAGATTAATACTGACTACCCATTCACTCCTGCAACTCAACTGACGCGACCGCAGCGACGGCGTCACGTTCGGTAGCGCCCCCTAGTGGAGTCGATTGCCGTCCATCTTCTCGTACAGGTATTTTGCGAACTCCTCCTCGTATGTCGCGAGTTCTTCGCTAGTCATCTTGTCGATGTTTTCAGCCTCTTCTCTCAACATCTGCTCGTATGCCTCGTTGCTGCCACCCTGCAAAAGCCAATTAATCTATCAAACAATCAATCAACTGACTCTCAAGATAATTGCATTTTTAAAATAATACCATGCAAGTAGTGTTAAATCAATCAATCAATCAATCGATTATCACATCGGTTAAGCTGTCACATATTTTCACCAGGCGACACGACACGCCTCCCACTTCACTCACGTTTCTCGCAGCAAAACTTTAAAATCCCACCGCTAGATGGCGCCACTCACCGCATACTCGTCGTTCTCATTCGTCTCCACATAGTCGGCAAGAGGCTTCAAATGAAAGTCGATGACCACGGCCTCAGCGTGATCTGGGTTCGTGACCTCCACGACCTTCGTCTCGGGTGTGTAGTCGGCAGCGACGGACGTCACCTCGTAGCGGCCGGGCGTTAGGAGGCGCCAGTAGTCGCCGCCGTGCGCTGAAGAGAGGAGAGCAGAGCCTGTGATTGCGTACTGTATATGTCATATTTTTCGCTAATTCAGACTTGACGGACAATTTCGCGAGTGGTTAATTTCGCGAGTGGTTAATTTCGCGGTCAGTGAATTCCCGAATCAGTGAAAAACATCATGTTGTTATTTTCGCGGTCGGGGAGACGTTCCACATTTCCGAGCAGAAGAACGAATGAACAACGAAGGGTGCAGTGGGGCACAATTAAAAAAATCTTAGTTTGCCCTAACCCAACCCAGGCTGAAAAGTTTGGGTAGGTAGGTGGTTTTTTTTAAAGATTTTTGAGGGGGGTCTTTTTACAAATTCAACATGGTGTCTACATGCTCGGGTGTGCTTGTGTGGCGAAAGCTTTTATGTTAAATGTTTGTTTTGCTTGGTACATATAATGTATTGCCTACAGATTTATATAATGTAGTGATACAATTTCTAAAAAAACGCCTTTCTGGCGGGTCAGTCGGGTGAGTGCAAACAAACAATATTTTTATTATGGCCTCGTCGTACCGGAGGTGACGTCGTGATTGATGGTCTGACCGGTCGTTAGGTTCTTGACCTGAATGAGGGCGTTAGCGATGCCCTCGCCCGTCGCAGCGTCTGACACGACACCCTTCACACCGGTGTGGGCCTGCAAGCAACAATCGTCGTACTCTTTACGATTTACCCGCATTACTCTCTTTCTCCCTCTCTCTCGTTCTCTTCTTCTCTCACTATCTCTCTCTCTCTCTCTCTCTCTCTCTATCTCTCTCTCTCTTTCCCTCTCTCGTTCTCTTCTCCTCTCTCACTATCTCTCTCTTTCTCTCTCTCTCTCTCTCTTTCCCTCTCTCGTTCTCTTCTCCTCTCTCACTATCTCTCTCTCTCTCTCTCTCTCTCTCTCTCTCTCTCTCGTTCTCTTCTCCTCTCACTATCTCTCTCTCTCTCTCTCTCTCTCTCTCTCTCTATCTATCTCTCTCTCTATCTTTCTATCTCTCTCTCTCTCTTTCCCTCTCTCGTTCTCTTCTCCTCTCTCACTATCTCTCTCTTTCTCTCTCTCTCTCTCTCTTTCCCTCTCTCGTTCTCTTCTCCTCTCTCACTATCTCTCTCTTTCTCTCTCTCTCTCTCTCTTTCCCTCTCTCGTTCTCTTCTCCTCTCTCACTATCTCTCTCTTTCTCTCTCTCTCTCTCTCTTTCCCTCTCTCGTTCTCTTCTCCTCTCTCACTATCTCTCTCTTTCTCTTTCTCTCTCTCTCTCTCTCTCTCTCTCGTTCTCTTCTCCTCTCTCTCTCTCTCTCTCTCTCTCTCTCTCTCTCTCTCTCTCTCTCT